GGCGGTGGCTCGCAGCTTCCTTTCATTGGCCAGGAGTTCCAGGTCCTCACCAATAAGCAGGCGGGATCCCGGTAAGGGGCGGGGTCAACCATGTGTGGGTAGTGTGGGGCCGGCGCTACCCGGATGGGTCTCTGAAATTTAAAGGGCGGGAGGCTGAGCCCCGCGCCAGGAGGAGGTGCAGCGGAGAGGAGGGGTACGCGGGCGTGCGAGCCGGAGGGCTAGGGAACTTTCCTCCAAGACGGCGGAGCCGGCGCCGGCCGCGCGTGGCAGCCGAGAAGGAGCTTATATTGGCACGACTGTAGGAAAAAGCTTTAATGAGGAGGGAAACAAATCATAGTGTTTCCTTCTCTGGCATCCCACCCCCGTTGCTTGGAAAGGCACCCCTGAAAAACGCTCACCCCGCGTACAACCCTGTCCCACTCAACGCCGACGCACGACCCTTTGCCCTCGGTGGACTCCTGGCCGCCTGCTCTTTCTCCCATTCCCGCCGCCCAGTTCCATCCCCCGTTTCCATTAGATAATCGAAGCCTGAACTTTTTATGTGAACTGGAAGAGCTGTGTGTGTGCGTGTTGGGAGGGAGGACAAAGGGCCTGACTGGAACTGGGAAGGTCTGACGTCTCCAGAGTGGGCTTTCCAGGGAAGGGAGTACAGAGGAAGAATAAGAACCACCTGGGAAGAGATCGCACCCCAGTGCAGCCCCACAGCTAGAGAGAACCCCTGCCCTCAACGTCACCAACTCGCTGTGTGACCCAGGGGAGATGGCTCTCCCTCTCTGAACCTCAGTTTTCTCACTAGCAAATGGGGGGAGGGGGATGGACCATGAGCTTCCTCAGGTCCCTTCTGCCTCTAAATCATCACTGAGCTGCTAAGAGACACTGGACGCCAGACAATAGGCTGCAACGCTCTCTAAGGAGAGTCCCTGGTGACACCGTTCCCATGAAGGACAGGTGGGCCCGGAGGTGATGGGATGTGCTCAGAGCAAGCCCTGAGCAAGAAGGACTGAGCACCTGAGCGCCCTCCACCCCCCATCCAGGCTGCCCCTTGGCCGCCCTCTCCTTCCACTTGGCTTCCACTGCTTTGGAAGCTCTGTCCTGCTGGGCCTTGGCTGCTGTTTCTAGCGGGTGGGGTGGGGGGCTGCTCGCTAAATGAGGCTCCCTTAGCAGGTTCCAGTGGGCAGCACAAAAGGGGTCTCTGGGAAGACCCTGGTTCGTCTTCCTGGAGCCAAGGCCTTTCACGGACCTCAGGCCAGACTGGAGGAAGTGTGTCTTCTCTCCCTGGCCCCCGGGAAGGGGCTTGGCAAACCCTTATCTCCTGAGAAGCAGCTGCTGAGAAATACCTTAGCAACTGACTCCCGGCTCTCCAGCTCCTCACCACCCCCTCCCACGCGCGCACAGCCGCCTTAGAGACAGACCTTGCGGGCAGCGCTGGGAGGAAGCGCCCCCAGCGGCGAGGCTCGGCCCTGCAGGGGGCGTGGCCAGCACAGCCCTGGCTGGCTGATGGGGGATGGTAGTAATGAGGTCTGAGATCTCGGTTGTTCTCAGACCTTGTTCAGCTGAGGCCTCTGACATCTTGGTACCACCTTACCCCAGGAGCTGCTGGATAGTGGCACTTCCCTCTGAGATGCAAGGTCCTGTTCCCCTACCCCTATTTAGTGAGTGTCTAGCAGGTGAACCTCACACACACCTTCCTGGGGGAGCCCACAGTCTGGCAGCAAACAGGTAATTCCCAAGCAGGGAAAAGTGTGTGGTGGTTGGGAAGACTTTCTGGCTCTTCTTGGCCCCCTGGAACTCCGTTTTCCTCTCTGTCCAATGCAGAAATGCACCTTCCTTACCTCCCTGGGTAACTGAGGATTAAATGACAGAATCCATAGGAGAGCACCTTGGAAGATTAGAACCACAACCAAAATGTCAGGTGCTGATTGATTTCTGGTAGACTGGAAGTGGGAGAGCACCTGTCTGTGGGGTTTCTGGCCTCATTTTGTCCTGGATTCTCTCATCACACTTTGTTTGGAGGGGAATACCAAACCATCTTCCCCTACTTAGTTCCAGGCTCGGGCCCAGAGTTTAGGGGCTGATGTTTTCATAATAATAATAACTAACAGTCACTGAGCACTCACCACACACCAGGAGCTCTTCTGAGTGCTTTGTGTTCCTCACTCATTTTATCCTTATAATCCTGTGAGATGAGTAGCAAGCATCTTAACAAATACTGGGTCCTCATGACAATGCTATCAGGTAGGAACTATTATTTTCTCCTTCTGGGTAAGGACCCAGAAGCACAGAAAAGTCAAGAAACTTACAAGTAGTGGAGCTACAAGTGGAAAACAATAGTGGCTCCAGAATGCCTGCTCATGGGCTGCCGGGGTGGCTCAAGTGGTAGAGCGCCTGCCTAGCAAGCATAAAGCCTTGAGTTCAAACTCCAGTGCCCCCCCAAAAAAAATGTTTCCCAGAGTCCATGCTCACCCCCTGTGCCCCGCAGATGGACGTGTGGCCCAGAGCCTTATTCTCAGACAGATGGCTTCTCTGCACATCCCTGCTGGATTGGGACAGACTCCTTATAGTCTGAGCCACAAAAAGCCAATGACTCTGGACCTGAAGCCAATCTCTTGATGCCAGCCCCTAGCCACTCACCAGGTGGGAATCAAGGGATTAAGGCCACACCCGCTCTGTTTCTTCCAACCCACCAGCAAATGTCCCCATTGTTTTTAAAAATGGATGAACATTGCTTTACACATTTATAATTCATTAAAGAGAATTACAGGCACCTTACTCTGTAAACTCTTACAGGCACCTACTATGTGTCATCCCCTGGAGTGCATTATTAATGATAAGCAGTAACATTTGAGCCAGGAGCTGGTGGCTCACAGCTATAATCCCAGCTACTCAGGAGGCAGAGATCAGGAGGATCAAGGTTTGAAGCCAGCCTGGACAAATAGTTTGCAAGACCCTATCTCAAAAAAAAAAACCTTCACAAAAAAGGGTTGGTGGAGTGGCTCAAGGTGTAGGCCCTGAGTTTAAATCCCAGCACCACAAAAAAAAAAGGAAGTAACATTTGTCATTTGTTGAATAGTGACTGTCTGCCAGTAGCTGTCCTAAACCTTTACATGTATTAACTGGTTTAATCCTCTGAATAGTCTTAGCAAATAGAAGCTATTATCACCTGCACTGTATAGAAAAAAGAATTAAACTTTCCCAATATCATGGAAACAAAGCTTTTATCAGATTGTTTGTTTCTAAGAGGTTTACACCTTTTCCAAATACTCACATGTAACACACCAAACTGAGATAAAAGTGTTACCAGGGCCAGGTGAGGTATCTCAGGCCTGTAATTCCAGCTACTTGGGAGGTGGAGATTGGCGGTTTGAGGCCAGTCCAGGCAAAAGATTAACAAGACCCCATCTCAACCAGTAAGTGGGGCGTAGTGGCTCAGGGCACCCGTCATCACAGTTACATAAGATGCATAAATAGTAGGATCAAGGTCCAGGCCAGCCTGGGGAAATCTCGACATCTTATTGATAAAAATAACTAAAGCAAATAGCTGGAGGCAAGGGTCAAGTGGTGAAGGCCCTGAGTTCAAATCCCAGTATTGCCAAAAAACAAAAAGAAATGTTTCTACCAGGTATTTAACATTACTATGTGCTGTGTATGCCTCTATTTTCTACTCTATTTTGTTCTGTGTTGTTTTCCCTTAAATTCTGACTATAAATATGACATGTTTTCACCTATATGAGAAGGCTAAAAGAGTCAATCTGATGGAAGTAAAGTAGATAGTGGTTCCCAGGGGCTGGGACTGGTGGCAAAAGGGGTGTTAGAGAGGATGGTGACGGGCAGAGGGGTGCAATTAGAGGAGTAACGTGTAATATTCTACAGCACAGTAGGGTAACTATGGTTGACAGCACTACATTGTATATTTCAAACTAGCTAGTAGAAAGCCGGGCACCAGTGGCTCACGCCTGTAATCCTATCTACTCCACAGGCAGAGATCAGGAGGATCACAGTTCAAAGCCAGCCAGGGCAAAGAGTTCTCAAGACCCTATCTCAAAAATACCCCTCACAGAACAGGGCTATCTGAGTGGCTCAAGTGGTAGAGCACCTGCCTAGTAAGTGTAAGGTCCTGAGTTCAAATCCCATATAGCTAAAAACAAAACAAAACAAAAAAATAGCTAGTAGAGAGGATTTGAATGTTTCTATCACAAAGAAATGATGAATGTTTGCAGTGTTGGATATGCCAGTTACCCTGATCTAGTCATATGCATTGGGTACCCCATAAATATGTACAAGTATTGTGCATGAAGTAAAAAGCTTAAATGTATACTTAAAAAATTCTAGTCATGACCCACTAAATTGATTTCATAACCTATTAATGAGTCACCACCCACAGTTTGCACAGCACTGAGTCATAGCTGAAAATATCCAGGCCAGGTTTGAGCCTCAATAGTTGGCTCCAGAGCCTGATCTCTTGGCATAAAGAACAGCTTGGAGGCTGGAGATGTGGCTCAAGTCATAGAGTGCCTGGCTAGCAATTGAGAAGCCCTGAGTTCAAACCCCAGTACCACCAAAATAGAAAGATTCAAGGCCAGTGTGTCTCCAAAACTAATAATAGAAATAAAGATAACACAAAGATGGTTATTCCTTAACTTAGTCTTGACATCAAGGTATGAAGAATTGGTGGTGAGGGGGTTAGGGACCAAGAAATGGACTTGGGCAATACAATATAAGCGATGTGATCAGCGTCACAGAGCCCAGGGTCCTGTTGCTAGGGCCAGTGAGTATTTAGCCTTGCAGAACTCACTTGAGGATGATGCTGGTGGCGTTGGCAGAGGTAATGGCTAATAGAAACCACAGGAGCTGGTGCTGGGGACTTTGGTCATGGGAGGCTGGTGGAGACAATAGCTATATTAATGTTGGGCATGAACAGGAATGCGGAAGTGATCTCGCAGTGGCACCTGCACCCCCTTCCCAAATCAAGCTCAATCCTGTCCTCGCCTCCTCCCTCCCAGCACTTTCCGGAGCACCTGGACCACTTTGTGGAGAACATGGAAGACTTCTCGAATGACCTGTTCAGCAGTTTCTTTGATGACCCGGTGCTGGATGAGAAGAGTCCTCTGCTGGACATGGAACTAGACTCCCCCACGCCAGGCATCCAGGCAGAGCACAGCTACTCCCTGAGCGGGGACTCTGCACCTCAGAGCCCTCTTGTGCCCATTAAGATGGAGGACACCACCCAAGGTAAGAGGTGGACAGCACAGGCCCAGAAGACCCAGGAGGGTGGGAGCTTCTGAGGGACAAGAGGGGACACCTGCAGCCTGAAAGCCACCCACAACCCCATCAGCAGGGCACAGCTCTCTGCCTTTTGGGTGCTCCTCAAATCAGACCCATGTGGACACTTCTCAAAAGCAGTTTGTGCTCAGTTAGGTCAAAAAGCCATTTACAAAGGGTGGCTCTCAGGCCATCAGTATCACCTGGGAGCCAATTAGAAATGCAAACCTTCACCTAGGTGAGCATGGTGATGCACACCTGTAAGGCTGAGGTAGGAGGATAGCAAGTTCCAGGCTAGCCTCGGTTACATAGTGAGACTGTGTCTCAAAAAACAAATAAACAAAAAATGCAAATCCTCAGCTCCCACTCCAACCCTGCAGAGCCAGAAACCCCATGGGAAGGTCTAAGCTTCCCGGGGTTTCCAATGCACAACGGGTCAGAGAGTCACTGATTTATAGCCAACGATGGAGATGATTAAGCCGGGCATCAGTGGGTCACATCTATAACCAAGGCTACTCATGAGGCAGAAATCAGGAGGATCAGGTTCAAAGCCAACCCCAGGCAAAAAGTTCATGAGACCCTATCTCAAAAAAACGCATCACAAAAAAAGGGCTGGTGGAGTGAGGTCCTGAGTTCAGACTCCCGTACCTGAAAAAAAAAAAAAAAACAGTGAAGATTAAATAACAAATGTAGACAAAATAAAGACCTTTCCATCTCCTTGTACTGTGATGTTCTCCAAGATGCCCCCTGAGAGGGCCCTGGACCCAACTTTTATTCCTGAAGGTGGGCTCTCTTAAACCCTTTCCTCCAACTCCCCACTTTGAAATGGAGGCTCTGAGTCTGAGTCGTTCCTCTCAGGTGATCTGCACAAAAGCCACACTGTGCCCCTGCTAGAAACACTATCCCTTTAGTCATTTCTTCAAGATAGCTGGTCCTGCCTCTGTCATCTCTGGCTGAGTGGTCAGGGATGTCTGTCAGCCTCTAGAAACCTCACACGTGGGAATAACAGCAAACATTTCCAGGGCTCTCTCCAGTCTCAGAAGTGACTGAGTGTTAATTATCTCATTTAGTTCTCACCATGGACAGGTGAGACTGGAATCACTTTCCTCATAATCCCACGTGGCCCATAAGAAAAATGAGACTTCACAAAAGTGATGTTGTCTAGGTCATGCAGAATGGAGAACCGAGAGCCAGCCCCCTGATTCTAAGCCCTTCTACCACCACGTCTGCTACCCTTAAGGGGCAGCAAAGGCTACTGCTTTGGGAACCCAACATATTTGATGTGTATCCTGGTACCTCCACTAGCTGCTGGGTGACCTTGCACAAGTTCCTTAGCCTCTCTGGGTCTCTGTTTCCTTAATTATAAAATGAAAATAATTATATAAATGAAATTATATATATATATATATATATATACACACACACACACACATATATATATGTGTATCCATCTGTTAAATGGGGTGAGCAGCAGAGCCTGCCACAAACAATTCTGGGTAGGAGGAAATAAACCCGTGAGCATGGAGGTCTCAGAGCTATGGCAGACACAAGAAGTCTGTGTCCTAAGGTGCTTAGGACTTCCCAGGAGCAAAGGTGGGCTTCTGTACCCCCTGCCATGCGGACAGAGCTACTTTCTTGGGTTTTATGTGACTCGAGGGCTTGTAGCTATTAGGGTCCCAGCTGCCCACTCTGCCCTGGCCTCAGCTGAGCCACTGAACCTCCATGAGATCTCAGGCCCCAGCCTGGAGCAGGCAGGGGTGCAGGGTAGACCCTCTACCCGGCAGGTTCTCCATCCACCCCACTGGGCCTCCCAGCAACTCCTGAACCATCCCAGGTCTATTTTTAAAGCAATTTGTCTGTGGCTCTTCAGAGGGGCAGTTTCCCGGAGGCTGGTGGCCTGACCCTGTAATTTGGGAAGATTGTGAGTATTCCCGGACCCAAGGGCAGCCTGTGACCCTGGCACTCAGGCTCCCAGCAGGGTGGGGACTGGCCTCTGAGGTGGGACTGGGGAGCCACTGACCCCTCTCCCCACCTACAGTGGGCTCCAAAATCCAGAGTCCCTCCAGCCCCTCCCCTTCATGTTGGTCCTCTCACCCCACCCCCTGCCTCACTGCTGCTTCTCTGCCTTCCAGACACTGGGGACACCATAGGCAGGGCTGACGTGGGGTGAAGACTATGGGCACCTATCAGTGGCCAGCCCTGTGGCCCAGGTGAGGCCAGAAGACCCACTACGTAGACAGGAGGTGGAGTCTGCCCTTGGTTCCCTGGACACCCCTCCCTCCACATGCCCTGTCACCAAGTCCTCAGTCTGTTTCTATTACGTTTTCTTTGTGCAGCTCCACTGCCTGCCTTTCCTCAGACCTCATCTTCTCACTTGCACCATTTATTTAAGCAGCCACCTGTCAGTCTCCCTGCCCCCATCTTGCCAGAAGTTAATCCAGTCTTCTGCCTTGCCACAGGTTTTTGGGATTTTTTTAAATATATAAATTCAAGCATAGTCAAATCCCTTGAATGGCTCCCCTCACATTTGGATAAACTCACAGCTCCATGCCCAGCCCCCAAGGCCAAGCCACCCTACTGGCACTTCTCTTTCTTTTTTTTTTTTATTTTTTTTGACAGGTTATTGCTATGTAGGCCAAGCTGGCATCAAACTTGCAATGCTCCTGCCTCAGCCTCCTGGGTGCTGGGATTACAGGCATGCATCACTATTCTCTGACTCCTTCCACATCCCTGAGTGCTCCCACTATACTAAATTGCGTGTGACTCTTGCTAGCTACCCAGCCCCTGGCACAGTGATCAGCAAATGTTTATTGAGGACAATAACTATATTAACACTACTGTCATTTATTGAACATTTACTTTTTGTCAGGCACTGTGTGTGCTAGTGTTCTATGTGTATTATACTATTTAATCGTCAAAACCTCCCTGTTAGGGATGGCCTGTTCCTTTCCCCATTTTAAGGATGAGGAAACTGAAGTTCAGAGAAGATAATCAACTTGCCTAAGGTCACACAGCCATTCAGGAAGGATCCAGGTCCAGTGTCCATGCCCGAGATTATCCTCACCTCTTCTGGCTCCTGCCCAGCCTGCTTCTCTCCTCACAAAGACCCCCCCCTTTTCCTATTCACCTCCTAGTGTACCCCAACATGTCTTCTCTGTCTGTCCACCAGTGGGCAGGAGTGGGCTGAGCTCCCTGTCTGGGAGTCCCCTGAGCCTGGGTCCTGTCCTCTTCCCCCAGATGTGGACCATGGAGCATGGGCACTGGGACACAAACTGTGCTCCATCATGGTGAAGCAGGAGCAGAGCCCGGAACTGCCTGTGGACCCTCTGGCTGCATCCTCCGCCATGGCAGCTGCTGCCGCCATGGCCACCTCCCCACTAATGGGCCTCAGCCCCTTGTCCAGGCTGCCCATCCCCCACCAGGTGAGCGTGGGACTGTGGGCAGGGGCTGAGGGAGTGAGGATGGCTGGTGGGGCTGTTGGGAGCCATGCCCAAAGCCCTGTGCCTGCTCAGGGCTCTGAGACCAGGAGCAATGCCACCCTCGGGGCTGAGGGTTGGAAGTGCCAGACCAGACCTCTGCCTCCCCAACTGGCCACCCTTTCACCATCTTACAACAGGCACCACAGAGCCCTCAGAGTCCTCCTGAGGGGGCCCTCCTGTGTGCAGAGAAAGCTTGGGGAGGCACCAGGCAGGGTTGGGCATTGGGGGCCCAGTCTAGGGTCTCAGAGATAGACACAGCCCAGGCCATTTCCTTTTCTCGAAGCTTCAGGATCTTAGAAAGAAAGAAAGAAAGGCCAACATGTAAATAGAAAAACGGTGCCATATTTTAGTTGTTTACATTTGTGAGAATAGCCACTCTCATGCCAAACTCCACCTCCACGCCCATGAATATAGAGATAACAGCGTTCAGCTATAAGCCTGAGACTCTTCCAGGAATGTGAGGCCCAGACCACTGGCTCCCCAGAGAGGCCTGAGTCCAGTTCAGCTCCTTCCTTGTGCTCTGGGCACATCACATTCATACTTTCTTCTTCAGCTTCCTGTTCTGTAAAATGGGTGTATGAACTTAAGGTTCTTCTAGGCCTAAGATTCTACAATATGAGGGCCATTTTAAAATCCCTGGAGTTGGGATTTGACTGGTCCTGTCTGCTGGCAGCCACCTGGCTCACCTGATCCAACTGTAAGTGGCTACAAGCAAGAAAGACAAGCCCCTTCCTACCTCACCCCTGACTTCAAGTTTCAAGGGGTGGCTGCAGATGTCTCCAACACAGATTGATTCCAGAGCCTGGTCACAGCAGGAAGGGAAGGCATGACAGCAGTATCTTCAGAGGAGGAAACTGAGGCTCTGGGGATTAAGTAATTGGCCCAAAATCCCACAGTCAAAACATCACTGCTGCTTTCTGACTTGACCTGCTGGACTGGACCCCCAACTCATGCTTTCTACCCTAGCCAGGTCACAGTACCCTAGTGTAGGGCACAGGAACCAGGAGTTGGCATTGTCCATAATGAACTGTGAAACCACAAAAGTGTTATCACCAGTCTGCATCAGAGTCCCATCATCCCCTAATCTGTCACCTGAGGGCTGAGCTGACCAGGGAATCACCAAGATCGGGCCAACTTGAACTTTCTCTGGTCTTCCTACATTCATACTGTAGGATACCTCTCTCTCTATTGGCTGCAGACCCAGAGGAGAGAAAACCTCAAAGTCCAGCACCCAATTCCATGCCTGCCTCTCAGAGAACACCACTTACATGCATGTTGGGAGTTGTGTGTGGAGCCACACATGTTCCTGAAGTCCTTTCTGGAATGAGTTAGAATATGAATAAATAGCCAAGTGCCAGTGACTCACGCCACTAGCTACTTGGGAGGCAGAAATCAGGAGGATCGCAGTTCAAGGCTAGCCCAGGCAAATAGTTTTCAAGAACCCCATCTCCAAAATAACCAGAGCAAAATGAACTAGAGGCATGAGCATTCAAGCGGTAGAGCACCTACTTTGCAAGAGCGAAGCCCCGAGTTCAAACCTCAGGCTCACCAAAAACAAAAAAGAGAGACAGTAAATAAATAGGAATGCAAGCTTGCTGAAAATATAAATCTGGGCCTGGCCTGGTGCTGCATACCTGTGATCCCAGCTGCTTGGGAGGCAGAGGAAAGAGTAGAAGTGCAAGGCCTGCCCTTCCAAAAGCCCAAACCCTAATCTGAAAAACAAACTAAAAGCAAGAGGAATGGGAATGGGACTCAAGTCCCAGGGCACTTGCCTAACAAGCGCAAGGCCCCGAGTTCAATCCCCGATATGTCCAAGACAAAAATAAAAACAAAAGTCTGATACCATCAGTCCCTCACTTAGAACTCATTAAGAGCTCTCATTGCCTCTACTTCTCTGTCTGGACTCTATTCCTAGACTCATCTCAGACTCCAGCTTCTCTGGAGCTTTCTCTGAATCCCCAGTCAATTAATTTTTCCTTCCATACTATTGTTTTCATTCATTGAGCCACCAGTTACAGTGTGCCAGACAATACCTCTAGTCTTCATGGCAACCACATATGACCTTCGCTATCAGCACAGAGTCAGCCTCCACTGGGAAGTTCCTGGAAGCCACAGGAAGCCCTCCTGCTCTGAGCTTGAATTCTGAACTACGCTACTTGGTCCCATTTTCTCCTCTTAAGTGTTGTTTGGCTTTCCCAAGCATGAGAACTTACCTCTCTTCCCTCTGGGCTGTGCCCAGAACCCCCAAGCCCAAGCACTTCCCCAACTATGCAGAGAAGACCACCAGCTTCTGGGAAGGAGGTGAGGTGGGCAGCATGACGGGGACTGTCCCAGGGGCAGCTGATGGAGCTAGACTTATCTCTTCCTCAGGCCCCAGGAGACATGACTCAGCTGCCAGTGATCAAAGCAGAGCCCCAGGAAGTGAGCCAGTTCCTCAAAGTGACACCAGGTAAGTATGGCCAGGAAAGAGGCTCATCTCCCCTCTATTCTTAAGCAGACAGCATCCTACTTCTTTGGTCCAGCCCACTCCTGCCCCAAAAGGCCCCCCACTTCTGTACCAAATATCCTCTTCTCCCCCACATCCTCACTCTACATCCATCCATGTTCCCTTCTCTCCTTCCTTAATCTGTGACTTCCCTAATATGCCCCCCTCATTTAATCTCTCACCTTCTTTGCTGGTCCCTTTCACTAACTGAAACCTGCTCTATCCATCATCCTCCCATCTAATCGTTCATCCATCCAACCATCTGTCTATCCATTATCATCTCTCTACCCACCCACCCACCTATCCATCTACCCATCCATCCAACCAGAGTCCACTGGGTGGCCTCTCCTACTCCCAAGCACTGAGGAACAGAGTGAAGAAAGTCCCTGTACCCAAGTAGATCACAGAGTTCCCAGGGGCACAGGCAAACCCACCAATTACACAGCAGTGATATGGGCATGCAGATGGCAAATCCACAGGGAGTTTTGAGAGCTCAACCCCAGACAAGACAGGAGAAGGGTACACAGAGTTTTTTGGAGTTGGCCAAGAGGAATCTTTCTAATCCCACATCATTAATGCATCAAATACTATGGTTGAAGCATCTACTGTGTATCAAGCCCTAGGCTGTGTACCACAAGGTCTAGAAAAATTAATAAGGCCAGCATTTCATCTCAAGATGCTCACTGTCTTGGAGAGAAGACAGGAGGGAAGGGGCTCACATTAAGAAACCGCACACTGCCTGGTGGAGTGGCTCAACTGGTAGAGCACCTGCCTCGAAAGCAGGAGGCACTGAGTTCAAACCCCAGTATAACCAAAGGAGAAAAAAAGAAGTCAGGATTTTTTTCACAGGGTGCCAGTGGCTCACGCCTATAATCCCAGCTACTCAGGAGGCAGAGATCATGAGGATTGCAGTTCCAAGCCAGCCTGGGCAAATAGTTCATGAAACCCTATCTCGAAAAAAATGCATCACAAAAAAAGAGCTGGTGGAGTGGCTCAAGGTGGAGGCCCTGAGTTCAATCCCCAGCACTGCAAAAAAAAAAAAAAGAAAAGAAAAGACACCTCACACTGTAGAGCACCCTTTGCTTCCTAAAGCATCTCACATACATTAGCTTTTTGCATCCTCCTGGCTCAGAGCAGAGTTGTTTCAGCCCATTGAACAGATGAGGAAGGTGAGGTTAAGTAAGCCCAAGCATAAACATAAACATAACAGGGTCGCATAGTTGGGAGGTGCTATAGCTAGGATTTGACCTCTGGTCTGACTCCAAGTCCAGTGCTCTTTGCAGTGTGACATCCATAAGACACAAATAGTGTCAAAGGAAGGAGAGGACTCCTGCAGTAGCCCACCTTGTAAGCCAGGGAGGATGCAGCCATGACCCTGTGCTACAGTGCAGTGGAGCCCCAGATTTCCACAACTGGAATGATCTATCCTGGGAGCTCTCCCAGCATCTAGGCTCCTGGTCCTTGAATGAGCCTGGACCTCTAGGCATGTCTTCCTGACACCTGCAGAGTCTTCCTGGTGCCGTGGCCATAGAGGAGACAGTGTCTGGACTTGCAGAGCTGGGGTTTAAAGACCCTGAATCCTCTTGAAGCCAGGGATGGAGGAGAATATAGCCTATGGGCCTGGGTGTGGACACCCAGGAGCCAGGCCTCTGTGCTGTCAGAGATGGACGATACTCAGAAATCATTTTCTGGAGTGGCAGCTGTCTTCCTGACACCACAGAGGGCCTCTGATGCCCCTGGAGGGGTGAGGATTCTATAGGCTGGTGGATGCACATGCAAGCTGAACTCATAATATCAGAGCAGAACTGGGGCACAACCCTGCTAATCTGGTTTCCCTGCTCTTCCTAGAGGACCTGGTGCAGATGCCTCCAACACCCCCCAGCAGCCACGGCAGCGACAGCGACGGCTCCCAGAGTCCCCGTTCTCTGCCACCCTCCAGTCCTGTCCGACCCATGGCCCGCTCCTCCACAGCCATCTCCACCTCCCCCCTCCTCACTGCCCCTCACGTAAGGAGCTAGGGTGGGCTAACCCTGGAGGTGAGCAGTTGAGAATTCGAATTCAGGGCTTTCTAGTTCCTAATCATCTTGTCCTACTACCTACAGAAATTGCAGGGGACATCAGGGCCGCTGCTCCTGACAGAGGAGGAGAAACGTACCCTGATCGCTGAGGGCTATCCCATTCCCACAAAGCTCCCCCTCACCAAAGCGGAAGAGAAGGCCTTAAAGAGAGTCCGGAGGAAAATCAAGAACAAGGTAAAACCTCAGCCTCCCCTGCCCTACCCTGGGGCTTTGAAGGGCTTCCCAGTGGGTCAGGGCCTCTGCACCCCTGGTGATGCCTGCCCTGAAATTGGAGGGCCCCAGGAAGTGGATATGTGGCCTTGGTAACCCCATTTTGGGATTTCCCGCTCTAGATCTCAGCCCAGGAGAGCCGTCGTAAGAAGAAGGAGTATGTGGAGTGTCTAGAAAAGAAGTAAGCATCCCAGATGGGGTAGGACCTGGACCTTGCACCCCAGTCCTCTTTCATGAAGCACCAACAGTGGTGGAGGGGTACAAGGTGTGAGATGATCATAGGCAGCCATGGGGCAGCAGCGAGTACAAGAGCTGCCATGAGCCTGTGTCTTCTTGGCCCCTCCAGGGTGGAGACATTCACATCAGAGAATAATGAACTGTGGAAGAAGGTGGAGACCCTAGAGAATGCCAACAGGTGGGTAGTGCTACCTGCATCCCCCTGTCCTACTGTAGCCTGTGCCTGCACAGTTCTGGATGGCAGGAGAGAGGAGAGGTAACTAAGCTAAGCATGACACCTCAAATATACCCTGTGGCCTGGAACTTCATACGTCCTGTCCCTTCCCTGGCTTCCCAGTCTTCATCGTTTGCACATGAATCAAGACACCTGATGGTTAGCTGAGATCATATGGAGCAGAAGTTTTCCAAGTGTGGTCCCTTAGACTTGCCACATTAGTGTCCCCTGGGAACTTGTTAGAGATGCTTTTTCTCAGGCTCCACTGAATCAGAAACCCCAGGGTGAGGGCCCAGCATTCTGGCTTTTTGTTTGTTTTTTTAGTGGTACTGGGGCTTGCACGCAGGGCCTTAGCTTGCTAAGCAGATGCTCTACCACTTAAGCCACTCACCAGCCCTTTTTTGTGTTGGGTATTTTCAAGATAGGGTTTCTGGAACTATTTGCTGGGCTGGCCTCCAACCACCATCCTCCTGATCTCTGCTTCCTGAGTAGCTAGGATTACAGGTGTGAACCACCAGCACCCAGCTATAGACTATGTTTTAACGAGTCCTCCAGGTGACCCCAATGAACCCTAAAATTTGAGAACCAGTGCTAGCGATTCTTGCTTCTTAAAGCCAGTTCACCCAGACAGGCCACATGCACATCACCTGAGAACGTGTAAGAAATGAGGAATTTCAGCACTCTCCCTAGACTTGCCCAGCCAGCATCGGAGTTTTAACAAGAATCCTGAATGATTCACATGCACAGTTAAGTTGAGAAACCCAGCACATTGACTGGCAGGTAGCATAAAGTCACAGCTCTGGGTTCTTGCTACTCTCTGCCACTTTTGTGACTCTGAGGGAACTGTGAGACCTCTCTGGACCCCAGGATTTTGTCAACAGGGGGATGACAGAAGCTCTCCTTACAGGATTAATGTGAGAATTCTAGGAGATAGTGCATGAAAGGGCCAAGTATGGTGGTTGGCATTTAAGAATGCTCAATTCGTGTTAGTTTTTCTTCCCTTTTTATTATTAGTCCCACTTCTTGATCGTGCCGGGCTGGGAAGCCCACTGAAGGTCTTTGACAATTACTTGCTGGGAGTAATTGCAGTAACATAGAAAACAGCCTGGTATACAGTAGGAGCCCACCCCAAGATTGTATACTCCTTTCCTTCCTTCTTATGCAACCCCCAACCCTTTCTCAGCTGGATCCAGCCACTCCCCTGATTGGTCTGGAGAATCTCCCACTCCGCCCCCAGCCCCACCCCCCAGGACAGGGGCGGAGCCCTCACGCCTCACTCCTTTACCTCTGGCCCCAAATAGGGCCAAGCCCTTGGTGCTATTTCGCCACCTGCTGTTCGCTTTGGGAACTGCACAAGCCCTGCTAGGTGGAGAAGAGAGCTGATTAAACATTTTTCACCCTCTGCGTATACACAGAGGATTCCACGCCGGGTCGGACCCAGTCTTCACCTTCAGGGAAGAAGGTGAAGCAAGGGATACTGACACGGAAATCCATAAAAAAGCGAAGTGTTGCAGGTGTAAAAACAATAAAGTTAACATAAACTATAGTTGTCATTCACTGGAGGCACTACTTATCAGGCACTGTGACAAACATGTCCTTCTTGTCAGCTAAGGGTGGGGGTGCAAAGGTTAATGGATCTTTGGTTGCTGTAGGGTAAGGAAAAGAAGACCTGCCTTGCCCAAGTGGGGGCAGTTCCTCCCCCTCCAACCCTCTCTTTGGCAGGGAGCATTCCAGGGCACCCCTGAGCTCCTGCAGAGTGACCCAGCTATCACCATGAGGCAGGCCCCAGATGCCTGAGCCACACTGCAAAAGAGCCAAGCAGGAGGTGACCTTTTCAGTCTTGACTGAAATGGGTACCTGGTGTAGAGGCCAAGTCAGGAGCAGTCCCAGCCTCCCACTACCACCCCAGAAATGGCTGCCAGGTTGGAGCCTCCTGGGTGACCACTGTGCCCTCCTCAGGACCCTGCTCCAGCAGCTGCAGAAACTCCAGACACTGGTCACCAGCAAGATCTCTAGACCTTACAAGATGGCCGCCACACAGACTGGGACCTGCCTCATGGTACGTGCTTTGTCCCCAGCACAGCACCAGAGGAAGACAGCTCTTCCTTAGGCTGGCTTTCTAGGAGGGTGGGCAGAGCTTTGAGGGATTGGTGATATCGTGGGCGACATCTTGGTGGACTGGCCCCAGCAAAGCCCAGCCCCCTTCACCAAATCCACAGAGACTTGTACCATACAACCTTCTCTGACCAATTACAACATCGGTTGAGTAGATGATGCCAGAGAACCCAAGGAGGGGCGGGTCCCTTGGAGTAAAAAGGACTTGGAGAACACAGGCTTAAGGTCATTGTTCTTTCTGGAATGGATGGTAGAGGAAGCCTAAGTAAATTCCTAGAAACCCAAAAGTGTTCCAGAGTGCGGCTTGGACCTATGCTCATCCATTTTCTCTGTGTTTTTGGAAATGTGGGGCCTGATGGCACCTGGCTGATTGTGCCCTGAGGGCAGGGCCCAGTTGGGGATCCCTGGCTTTCAGCTCTTCCTGCTGGCCACTCTTCCTGGGCATCCTCCTGAGGATGTAGTATGGTGTTATGTCACCATCCTGGTCATATCAGCAACCACCACCTTCACTTACCCATTTCTTCCTTTCCTGATTCCTCCACCCTATAGGTGCCTGTGGTGCTCCCCACAATGGGCTGCGGTGGCCTGAGCTGCCCCCACAGGTTCCTAAGGAAGCAGGAGACCCCACTTCTAGGGGGGTGTTGGGCTCTGGGAGCTGCTTTCTTGGACAAACACTAAAACTTTTGCACCTTGCAGCCCTACCCTGTCCCAGATCTATCTGATGGTCACTCTGTCCTACCAGGTGGCAGCCTTATGCTTCGTTCTGGTGCTGGGCTCTCTTGTGCCCTGCCTTCCTGAGTTCTCCTCTGGCTCCCAGACTGTGAAGGAAGACCCCATGGCCGCTGACAGTGTCTACACGGCCAGTCAGAGTGAGTACCTCCCAATTGCTGGAAGCCACACACAGGAAGAGCCATGTTTTGGGTGGGCATCATCTTAACCCTCCCTCCCCATTTTGCAGATGAGCCAAAGTGGGTCTGGGATTTGCTTGACATTGGTGGTAGAATTGGGACTAGAACACAGAGCTCCTGTCTCCCAGTCCACCTCTCAGAAACCTTCGAGTGTCTTGGAGGAGATCAACTTAGCAGAAAGCAGGAATGTTCTGGATCTAACCTCCATGGATGATGGTGATGGTAGTGATAGTGCCTTAGCTAAACACCATCACTATTTCACTGCCGAGACAGCCCTGAATTTCATCTCAAGGGCCTTTTAATAAGTTGGTGCTGCTGCCTGAAGCCCTGTGTTAAGAACGATTATGAGGAACCACTCAGAACCTACAGGAAGTGGACTAGGGTCCATTGGCAATGTCTACCTCCTACAAAAGAGGTCATGGTGTCAGTTCAGATATTTTTCCTCCTAGTGGGGAACCATGAGGGACAGTGGTCAGAACACGAGCTGTAGACTCAGTCATAGCTGGTGCTACACTTTACTGTGTAACCCATGTCACACAGCTTTAATTTCTGTAAAATGGGAGCTGCTATTCTGCTTTCCTCAGCTGGCTGTGGTGGCAATTCAGTGAGGTGAGGCATAGTGACACTGGCACATACTAAGTGAACAACAGAGAGGCAAGAAAAGACATGTTACATGAGTGGCAACGGGAGGACCAGTGCAGGGCACAGCAAGGAATAGCATGTCTTTCAGAGGCAGAGGATACTTGAAGTAGACCTTCAGAGGAACTTTCAGGTTGTCCATCATATCCCAGGAACACATATCTGGCATGGTGGAGGAGGAAGAAGAAACAGATGGGGGGGGTCAGAAAAAGGGGAGAGTGGAGAGAAGTGGTTTCAAGAAGTGGGATCCTGCAGGGAGGATGAGCAAGACATTGAGGGCCTGGAGGAGAGGAAGCCAGCTGGTGGTTGGGGGGCTGTCAGGAGAAGAGGAAGTGGGGGCAGGGAGTGAAAGCCACTCCCTGGACCAGAGGCTCTCAAGGAAGAGCAGGACGGCTGTTAAGGGAGTAGGCAGCAGGATGCAAGATCTCAGAGCCACATGTCTGGTGTTCTAAGTCAGAGGAGCCAGTGGAGAGAAAAGATGGATGCCATGGAGGTGGAGTTGATGGACCACGGAGTGAGAGGAAGAGGGAATGGATGGGCCTGGAGTAGACCCAGTGTTTGGGCAGGGCAGAGAGGAGGGCATGTCTGAGGAAGGAGGTGGCTTCTGGAACAGGCTGTTTTCCGGAGCTGGTCCGTTGCACAATGGTAGAGATGGTCTTTCACATAGATTGTTAGATCATGGGTGGTGGGAGGGGCTTGAAGGTGAATGGTAAATCCTGGAGCCAGCAGACCTGAGTTTGCATCCTACCGTCAATGAGGGCTGGTGTGGGACAGCTTACCTGATAGCCTAGACCCTCGATTACGTGCTCTGTGAACCAGGGATAAAGAAACCTCATTCCCAAGAGTTTCTGTAAGATTTTAATAATTGAATGTAGGTTTAAGGGTCTTATATAATGCCCGGACATGGCAGGTATCCAACAAATGTTTTGTTTTCTTTCCCTTGATTTCTCTGAAGGGCAAACTAGGGCTTAGAATGAGAGAGGCTTTTTGTGTGCCTCCCAGAAAGTAAGTGGTACTAGTTATGGGATTAGAACCTAGTTCTCAGTGCCCAAACCCTGTACTCTCTTCTTAGGAAGAGCCAACTTTTTCTAGCTAGCTGGTCTACGAAACACAGTTTCAATCACTTCCCCTATATTACTCCCCTCTACAGGAGGTTGGCCCCTCCTGTAGTATCCCCATTTTACAGATCAGCAAACAGAAGCTAGGAAAAGTTAAAGCAAAATGTGTGACTAACCTGAGGTCAAACAGTTAGAGAACATTAGAACTAGGATTCAAATCCAGACCTGTAAGACCTCAGAGCCTGTGTCCTTTACTACTGGGCCATGATTGTAGCCACATTGGAGGCAGGGGGACACCTGAGGGACATCCCTGGCTCACGCTGCACCTCCTCCCCAGTGCCCTCTCGAAGCCTCTTGTTCTATGACGACGGGGTGGGGTCGTGGGAAGATGGCCACAGCACCCTGCTGCCCGTGGAGCCCCCGGAGAACTGGGAGATCAAGCCAGGGGGGCCATCAGAACAGCGGCCCCAGGACCACCTGCAGCATGACCACCTGGACAGCACCCATGAGACCACCAAGTACCTGAGTGAGGCCTGGCCGAAGGACAGCAGTGGCAATGACACCAGCCCCAACTTCTCCCACCCCAAGGAGTGGTTCCAGGACAGGTGGGTGGGTAGCCCCTTCCCTTCCTAGGGTCTAGGATCCCACCTCAGACGTGCCCTGCCAGGATCCAACCTTTGCTGGTCTAGATCCAGTTCCCAGAAGGTGAGGGGTCCCTCCAGACAGACTCACCCCTGGCTCCTCTTCTCTCTCCAGGGATGTGGGACCCAACACCACCATCAAACTCTCCTAGGCCAGTCCAAGACCCAGGACACAGGACGGACCCCCTGGCACCCAGAAGAGGCATTCTCTTGTTCACCAACCCGGATCCAGCTCATACCCCTGCCCTGGGGCTCCCCACCCCAAGAAAAGGAGTTCTGCTTCTCCTCAACCCTCCTCAACCCAAGCCCCTGACATTTGGACTGTTCCCTTGGGCCAACCACTCTGTTCTCCCTTGTCCCTCTCACCACCATCCGTCCTCAGATAAACCACTCACTGGGCCACCCCTCCTCCTCTCTCATAATGACCAACAGACCACTGCCCCCTGCCCCCGACATCCACACACACACACACACATCCACAACCCCCCCACCCCACCCCACCTTCCACTGTACAGAGACCAAGAACAGAAATTGTTTGTAAATAATGAACCTTATTTTTTATTATTGCCAATCCCCTAAGATATTGTATTTTACAAATCTCCCGCCTAAAGTCTTCCTCTCTTGTTTTATATTTTATGAAGTCAGTGCGAGCTTTGATGCTCCCTGGCCTGGAACAGAGGGACCCCCCAACACCCTCTCCTGGCCTCCCCCTGCCACCGCTGCCCAAGCCGCTGGGCCTTTTTAACTGCCAAACTGCTCCCTCCATCAGCTCAGCACACGCTTTAAGAAAGCAAAATTGAAAAAAAAAAAAAAAAAAAAAGATGCAGCATCAATTCCAGACTTTGTGCCTTTCTTCATGGGGGAGAGGGCAGGACTAAGGGATGGAAGAATGAGAAGGGCAGGCTTCTTTTATGTTCCAGCAGAGGGTGGGTGGGGACCGTGAGAAGGCTTTTCTGCTGGGCTCCATTTTCTAGCCAGGCATGGAATTCAGACTAGACACAGAATTCTGCTGTAATTCCCCCACCCCAAGGCTGTTCCACGTACCTCTTACTGCTTTGTGTGGAGACAGAGAGTCATATATAAGCCACTGTGTTAGTACAGGCCACCTAGTGTAGGCCAGGCTCTGGGCTTCACTCCCCTGCTCAGCCTGGTCCTCCTAAGACCTGATGATTTTTTTTTTAGGGGGGGGAATATGGGGACTTGAACTCAGGACCTACACCTTGAGCCACTCCACCAGCCCTTTTTTGTGAAGGGTTTTTCAAGATAGGGTCTTGCAGAACTATTTTCCCCGGGGCTGGCTTTGAACCATGATCTGCCTCCTGAGTAGCTAGGATTACAGGCATAAGCCACCAGTGCCTGGCTAAACCTGATGATTTTTTTTTTTTTGGTGGTATTGGAGTTTGAACTCAGGGCCTTGAGCTTGCTAGGCAGGTGCTCTACCACTTGAGCCATGAGCCATGCGCCATGCTGCCAGTCCCTTTTGCTTTTATTATTATTATTTTTTTTTTGCTACTTGCTTTTATTATTTTTTGAAGAGGGTCTCACTTTTATGCCTAGGCTGGCCTGACCCTCAACCCTCCTGTTTACTCTTCTTTGAAGATGGAATGACAGGTGCTCACCACCATGTCCAGACTGTTGGTTGAGATGGGATCTTGCTACCTTTTTTCCTTCAATCCTCCCAATCTCTACTTCCTGAGTAGCTAGGAGTACAGGCGTGAGCACATGCCCAGCTAAACTAGTCAGTTTCTTAGTTCTTACTTCCTTTCCTCCACTAGATTAAAAGCACAGACTTCAAATTTAGAACAGCTGGCTGGGTGTGGTGGACCCAGCTAGTCAACAGACTAAGGCAGGAAGATCACTTGAACCCAAGAGTTCAGTTCAAGGCCAGCCTAGGCATCACAAGGAGACCCCTCCTCAAAAAACAAGTATTGGAGTTGCCATTTGATAGCTGTGGTAGGCAATGCCTTCTGGTGTACACACCCTGTTTAATCTCTTCCAATAAATAAGAAGGGACTTGTGAAAAATTAGATTACCTTTTATGGCAAAGGTAAAGAGATTTTGCTAAGTGTGGTGGCACACATCTGTAATTCCAGCACTTCGAAGGCTGAGGCAGGAGCATCATGAGATCAGGACCAGTGTGAGCTATATAGTAAGTTCCAAGCCAGTCTGGGCTACATAGCGAGATCCTGTCTCAATAAATAAACAAGAATAAATCAAGGAAAAAAGTAGAGATTTTGCAAATAAAAACTCCGTTGATTTTGAGCTCATAAAAAGGGGAAGTTAGCTGGGGGTGTGGCTCAAGTGGTAGAGCACCTCCCTAACAAGTGTTTGACCCAGAGTTCAAAAGTCCAGTACCACAAAAAAAAAAAAAAAAAAGGTGGGCCTGGCTTAGGTGAAAGTCATTGGCAGAGAGACTGGGCCCTTCCTGAACAGAGAGCACCTTCTGCAGGCTGTGAAGCAAACAGCCATGTTGAGAAGAGGGGTAGCTTAAAAAGGAGTGCAGGGACGAGTGCTACAGTATCAAGGACTGAATTCTGCCCCTACCTGAACAAGCTCAAAAGAAGACCCCAAGATCAGAGCCTAGACTGCCCCTAGGCTGCAGCCTTGTCACACCCAGCACAGAGGACCCAGTTGAGCCACTCCAGGACTCTGACTGTGGAGACTGACATCATAAATGCGTATTGTTTTAAGCAGTCAGGTTGGTGACAACTTGAATGAAGCATGGGAGACTAAGACACACTGCAACCTGCATCTCTCCGAGCCTCCCTCTCTCCATTTGTAAAATGAGTACTTAACACCCATGCCTGAGGCTGTGGGGATGCCACAAGTTAAGTTCCATAAAGTGCTTAGGACAGCTGGGAGCTGGTGGCTCATGCCTCTAACCCTAGCTACTTGGGAGGCTGAGACTGAGAACATTGCAGTTTGAGGCCAGCCCAGACAAATAGTTAGCAAGACCCCATCTCCAAAATAACCAAAGCAAAATGAACTGGAGGTAAGGCTCAAGTTGTAGAGCACCTGCCTAACAAGCTCAAGGTCATGAATCCAAACCCCAGTACTGCCAAAAAAATTTTTAAAAAGTGTTTAGAGTATCAAGAAGGCCAAGTACAAAGGCACAGAACCTTGAAAAGAGAGCGTGGAGGTCCAGGGTACAAAATATAAGGAAGCACTTGCACAACCTGAAAATAGCTATTTCCTTACATTTTGTACCCTCTGCACCAGCATGTCTTCACCTTGTCCTTGTACTGATGAAGAATGTGATCTTTTTGGAAATCTGAAGAAAGGACGCTTTATCCTAAAGGATAAGTGTTTTAAGCCAGAGAGTAAGGTAATCTGATCTGCCTACTTTGCAGGGGTATAGAGTACTTGAACTGATTCCAGAGGTGACCAGAGGAACCAGGCTCTGACATCAATTGGCTGTGAAGTTCAATAGCAAGGTCAGACTTGGTGCTGGAGGCTCACGCCTACAATACCAACTGCTCAGGAGGCAGAAATCAGGAGATTTCCTGCCTCAGTTGAAGCCAGATAGGTTGGGAGACCCTATCTTGAAAAAACAACACAAAACAGGGCTGGCAGGATGGCTCAAACAGTAAGAGTGCCTGCCTAGCAAGTTTGAGGCCCTCAGTTCAAACCCTAGTGCCACAAGAAAAAAAAAAAAAAAAAAAAGTAGTGCATGGGGTAGCCAGAGTGTCAGATGCCATGTGAGAGGTTGGGAAAGTTGAGAAGACAAAATGAGAAGGTTACTTGTGACCTTGGTAGGAGCCATGACGGGAAGAGTTGGGGCAGAAGTGAGACAAGGAGGTGGAGGTGAAGACAGCAGGAGTGGAAGTGAAGGCTGGGGAAGGCAGGATGGAGCTGAACTCCTTGGAAGTGAGGCATCACATAGGTAAAATCAAGAGGGGTTTGGAGCTGTTTTTTCAGATGAGAAAGTGTTGGTCATGGTTATTTCTAGAAGAAATTTCTAGAAAGAGTCGAGAGGAAAACTAAGGTTCCACAAAGAGGCAGTGATGGATGAGAGGGGTGGGGATGGGACCCCCAGAGAGCTGGCGGAGAGATACATGAGGACAGGAGAGGCCTGGACAGAGTGCAGGGCATTCTGTAGGTGCAGAAGGAAACTGAACAAGCCCCTCCCCCTCATTAACTGTGAGATATGGGGTGGAGCAATGGGAAGAGTTGGCATGAGAGTTGAATTGGGAAGAAAAAGAACAATTCTGAATAGTCAGAAAAATGGGAGACTCATCCCTTATGTGCATGGCACAGTGTTAACATGGTACTCAAGACATAGCCCCTGGGATGGAAGAACTTGAAATCCAGCATTCTTCCATGTGCCAGGCAGTGGGCAAAGAACTTTACATATCCCAAGAAGGAACCAAAATCATCCTAAGGGGTGGATACTTTTACAGATGAGAAAAGGAAAGGATTAGCTCAGTGGTAGAGAGCTCTTGCCTAGCCCCGTCCAAGGCCCTGGATTTAATCCCTGGCCTTGCCAAGAAAGAAACAAAGTGAGGCTCAGAGAGGCGAAGTGACTTGGCCAAGGTCATGCAGCTAAGTGTCAGGTCTATTTGGCTGCAGAGTTCATGCTGCCCTTCCACCCAGCTCCTCAGCACCCTTCCCATCTCCTCTAGGCTCCCCTCCCTCTCTTTATATGGCTGCTTCTGCTCCATGAATGCTGGGGCTTGGAGCAGCTAATCCAAAGAGCCCATGGCTAAAGTGTAGTCACCCAGAATGGCCTCCCTATGCCAGCCTATCCAAGGCTGTCTTCCCAGCCTGCGCTGGGATGCAGGGTTATCTGCCAATTGACACACCACCTCCTCAGGGCCATGCATCACTGCCTCTAGGGAGGCAGGTCACCAGTGCATCCCGAGCAATGGAGCTAGAGTCTGTTGTCAGCCCTGGCAGCTTCCTTTACCACAGCACACGTGATGGCTTTTAAAGTGGCAGTCACCCTGCTCAGATTGCCACAACAAACCTTCTGTTACACCTGGAAACCAAAGCTCTGGAAACAGGAAGAGCAGCTATGGGCTGTGCCTGGAGCGGGGAGAGCCAGGGCACAGCTCCAATCCCAGGAGGGCTGAATGACTCCAGGAGCCATCTGGCCAAATTTGGCACTTCTCTGATGAAGGCAAAAAGTACCCCTTGGGTATTCCCAGAGGTGGATGAGATAGGATGGAAAGTCAGCTCCCAAAGAGTCCGAGTTGCTTGGTCATCAGAGCATGGGTTCTGAGGTCCACACTGCATTGGAGCATGTGGTCTCACATGTATAGTTCTTAGCACCAGATCAGTAATCACTAAAGCCTCCAAAGACATTAACGACTGTTCTCTGAGTGCTGACGCAGTGAGTGGGCTGGAATTCAGATGAGGGAGTGGGCTGCAACTGGGAGAGACTGCAGAGATAGTAAGGATGGTCAAGAGAAGAGCCTTTCATTTTTCTCTTCTTCAGCTTAAAAATGATGTAGGCAACAGCTGGCCCTAAGCAGGGAGGTGTGACCATGGGGGGGCGGGGGAATGAATCCTCACTTTGAAAAGGACTGAGAGAAAAGAGCTCTGCAGGAGAGAACTAAACAAAAACCCAACCTGGGAATCCAGCAGCTAAGCTGGATAAAACCCAGCCAGAACTACCATAATTCATGGTGTGGGAGGCTACCCTGGGCCAGACCACTTGGAAACAGGAGCCAAGAATCCTGGAAGGACAGTCCCAAGAGCAGCTGGGTAGAGGGTAGGGACCCCAAGTGCCCAGCCTCCCCACCTCACTGCAACAGGACTTCTTTAGAACTTAGCTTTGGGAAGGAAGCAGGCTCCCCTGTGCCCGGAAAGTTTAAGGCAATTCCATTCATCC